AGGAAATGTGCTCTGTAGCCCAGGTCATAGTTCTCCACTGTGTCCCGTTCAGGGAATTGACTTAATCAAACACTAAAGAGCAGAAAATTAAAGTTATGTAGCAGTGACAGAAAACACTCTTGCTCTCACGCCTGCAGTGCATAAAAAAGAACACAGATTTAAATCAAAAACATCCCGGCTATTTCTTTTAGTTCAGCGTCTGAGTATTAATATTTCTCTTTGCTGCAAGATATGCTTTGTAAAAGTTGGTGGTTTCCAGAAATAACTGAGGTGAAAGCTCACGCGAAACATCATTCGTGCTGTCTCGCTTGAGGTCATGACACAGCTACCGAAAATCACTTTTTTTTTATTTTTTTTTATAACAACAGGAGCGAAGCTGGATCAAGCAACCGCAGTGTCGCTAAAACTTTGGTTGCTTTTTTTTTTTTCTCTCTCTTTGGGGTTGTCGACAGAGTCAGCGTCCTGTGAGCCCTGTGACACACGCTCATGCCCATAAACAGGGATTTGGCCCTCTGGAGAAAATAACCTTGATAATTACTGGGTGCATACGGACCTGCCCACAGCAGCAGGAGGGGGAGGAGGAGGAGGAGAAGGGGGGGTTGACTGAGAAAGAGAGAGAGAGAGAGCCACATCCGCTGGTGCATTCCTCCATGCTGTGTCATACCGGTGCAGAGTTTCCCCTCAGTTTGCACAGAGATTTCCACAAGGCAGAGGGTGCAAAGGACCACTGATGCAATGCTCCCGGCTGTGGACGGTGACATTTAAAGTTTAACAAGGCAACAAGCTGCACGTTCACAGACTCCCTACGGTAACACAGAGACAACAAGAAAAAAAAAAAAGAAGCTGTTTAAAGAGGCAGATTAAGCGCTGGAAAAAGAATGGGAGGACATGTGGAAGAGAGAAAGACTCAGCCTGGTGACCTAACTCTTTATGCGCTCATTGATTTTCGCCTCTCCCACTCTCTGTCTCTGCCCTCCTCCTCGTCACATGGCCTCCCTGGTCTGGCTGAATTGGCATCGTTACAGCAGCCAGAGCCGAATGTCTGTGGTTGGCTCGCAGCCCGTCTGCTCGCCTGTCATTCAGCTGGTTAAAGAGGCCTTGTTGAACCGCTGCACTGTGCCCGGCTACTACGGGGGCCATTCATGCCTGTAACAGCAGAAAACAGCCAAGTCCTGTCATCGGCGCGAGCTAGCACATACCAATTTACAACTGGAAAATGACAAGAGCATTTTGCTTGGTAAGCACAGACAGTCCCCCCCCCTCCCCCCTCTAAGTCTGGATTACACTTCTTCAGAATGAGAGAGAGAGAGGGAGGGCTTCTTTCTGACGGAGCATCTTTAGACAAACAGTGTTCAAGTCTCAAATATGTTCCCTGTCTCTGTTGCATGTACGCCGCCTACAACGAGAGTAAAGTGAACTAGACTGATCTGCTCCCAAAGGAGTCGAACAACAACAGTGTAAGACAACAAAACAAATCCTTTGTGCTGCCTCGAATGCCGGAAATTTCAGACAGAAGACTTTGGAAATACGGTTTCACTATACGAGAGCTTTTTTTTTTTTTTTTTCTTTCTCTTCTCTCTCCCTGTGCTTGTCAGTTGTTCTTTGTACCTTTCGGCCAATGGCAGCTCTTCCCTGTCCTGACCTGCACCTTTTTTTTTTTTTTTTTTTTAAACGTTCTCTTTTTTTTTTTTATAAACGTTCTCTGTCCTCTTCTCAGTCCCAGTGTGACACTCAGAGTGAGGACATGCATGAGAGACATGACTTCATCCTGCGCTCTCCCTCCTTCCTCCATCGCCTCCTTCCACTGATGTATCGTCCTCCACTCTCTCCTTCTCTCATCCCCTCTTTCCTCTCTCTCTCTAGTCCCTTTTTTTGTGTGTGTGTGTGTCTGTAGTCCTAACATCTTCCTGCTATGATTAGCAATCGTGTTTTTTCCCCAGCCAGTGTAATGTCTAGAGCCTCCTGTGTCCTTGGAAAGCCGCCTAATAAGCTCAGACACACACTGCTGTCTCGGAGCTCTGCGGGCCTATTCTCCAGTGTCACCCGGCACACACTGAGGTAAACAAAGACCGCCACACACGCACTCAAAACCTATCCTAGTGGCGTGCTAATAGACCAGCATACCAGCCCACTGAGGACGGCGCTGACGCTATCTCGCTAACGTTGACCTTCTGTGTGCCAATCACAACAAAATCTGCTCCCAGATTTGAATATGGGGAGGAGAAGAGTGTAAATTGAAAGCAGAAATCCCCCCGGTGTGAGAGAAGATGAGCCTCTGAATAAATTATTCAGATGGCAGCCGTTTTTTTCCTGCACGATTCTCGCCTTCTGCTACGTTTAATGGCATCTGTGACGACGCCCATTGGAGATTAATCCAGATGTAAGACGTTTGTGTGTGTGTGTGTGTGTGTCTGTGTGTGTGTGTCTGTGTGTGTGTGTGTGTGTGTGTGTGTGTGTGTGTGTGTGTGTGTGTGTGTGCCTGCTCACCCCGCTTCTTGTGCATCCCGTTGTGTCGTATGATGGGGAAACAAAGCCTCAACAGGGGAATTTATTTCTCCTCCGCAGAGGGCTGTAAATAAACAACTAGTGAATCAATGCCTCCATTTGTTTTTCTCTGATAATTCTGCCTGTGTCACACAGCGGAGTGACAGTGTTTTTCTAAGTCGATGTTGCTCTCAGCAGCCATATTTCCTCTCCGCGAGAGCGAGAAAACATGCCACCCCGTCCTCATGTTTCATTACCAGGGATCAGTAAATTACCGTGTGCTTTATAAATCACTCATTGCAGCTCATTTAACGCCGTGATGGAGCATTTGTATGAGTGGGAAATAATACCCGCATTAGATATTGTGCTTCTGGAACTACTCAGTCGACTAAAGACACACAGGCATAAAAATTACCAGGTGCGATTGAATAGAAAGCCCACAGCAGGTCCTTTTTATCAAGCCTGTTTGTATTATAGTACAAGTAATAATAATAATAATAACGTGGTGCATATGCAGGGCTTCCCTCTTAAAGCTCAGTTCACCAAAATCAGAATTAAAAACATGTTTCCTCACACGTCAGCAGTTGTTCAAGCCATGCACAGATTTCTCTTCTCTGTCTTTGGCTCAGTTTTGACATATTTACCTCGTAGATTTGTGCCTGCTGATTTACGCTATGGAGGTGAAGGAGGTAAAAAAAAAATCAACTGTTACGTACAGTAGCTAGTGTCTCGCCCTGCCTGGTCTTGGTCTCGGTCTCGGAGCACTCTGGTCTTGGGTTTCGGTGAGTGTGGCCTTTACTACAACACTGCCGGTAGCCTAGTGGTTATGTTGCACGCCCCATGTACAGAGGCTATGGTTCTTGTCGCAGCGGCCCGTAGGTTCAAATCCCACCTCGGCCCTCGGCATCCCCAGAAGAAAAACAAAAATCTTGAGAAAAGCAACTGTTACACCCTTTCTTTTACTTAATATTGTTGTGTATTTAAAGACAGACGTATTGTTCTTCTCACGTTTCATTGGTTGGGAGGCAAAAACAAACTCTCTCCATCAGGGCTTAGGAATCTTTTGGTGTCACACGATTCCATTCGATTTCGGTTCTTGGGTTCACGATTCGATTCAGAATCTATTTCCGATCCAAACTGATTCTGGATTCATGATGCAAAGTCTTTTTTTTTTTTTTTGAATTAGTACATAATTCAGGATCTACTCCAGTCATCTGTGAGACTGGCTGAATTTTTTGCTGCTCCTTTTGGCATTCTACTGAGTTAAAGAGCTAGCCTTAGCACTTAACTTAGGAGTGACTGATTGGCCAAAAAGAAAAAAAAAAAAAAAGATTTTTGAAAGTTATGAATCTACTGAACATCTTATCTCGATTTCTGCATAAATCTTTTTTTTTTTCTTTTTTTTCCCCCCACTTCTACTCTCCATGGTGAGCTACCACTGAAGAAGAATAAGCGACCCTTTAAACTGACGGACTAAACTCTTTCTTTCCCTAATTGCAGTCCCGTTGTCTCTAGTAACTATAATGAGCCGAGCGGTCCCTGAAAATACGAGGGGAGGTTTTTGTATTAGCTTCGGTTCGATGACTAACGCAGTGAATAATGGTGTGACCACAGTCATCCTCAGTTTTCTGAGCTGTGTATACCTTCACTAAGAAGACATTGTTCAGCTAATTCTGCTGCTGGTAACGCCACAATGACTACACATAAGATCTCTAACGGCCACTGGTTCACAGTCCCTTTTCTCTTTGCTTAAGTACCCTTCTCTGTATCCCATATCCAAGTGTGAAATTACAATATCAGATCATATTTAGTTAATTATACTCATATGACTAATTTAATTGGACTTAAATATGGGGGGAAATGAATAAATCATGGAGGCGTATTTAGCTTGCTAGCGCTGGTGTTAACAGTAATTAAATGTGGGGCAATCTGCAGCCTGTGAGTCGTCTACTGTACGAGTACACATGTGGAAGAAATAAAGCCAGACGGTTTTGAGGAGGACTCTTGCAGGATATTTATGAAAGGATGTGGGAGTTTCAAACAGGGAAGTAAAAGAGTTAAAGATGCAGTCCTGTAAAGTGAGCCGGCGCATTAATAGTCAGCGAGCAGCCGTCCCATTAGGAGATCTACACGGCGTACTTAGAGAAGTAGCCAGAAGCAGAGAAGAAATGTTCCTCCATGATTAGAGCCTGGAGAGTTCAAAGACGGCTCCTTCTGCAACCAGAGTGGCGCGAAAAGCACTCACGAGGAAGACGAGAAATCATCTCGCGTTTGTCGTCTCTGTGTTTTTATCTTTGGTATTTGGCGGGGATTAGAGATGCACATTCTCTCCGGCTCTGTCAGTCCTTGTTATGTGCTTCCAATCTGTCAGAAGCACGACAGGGCGCTTTATTACATCTCGATAAATGATGCCACCTAAGTCTTGTTTTCCTATCACTAAAAAGCAGATTGTGTTTTGTCACGCTCCCTTATGTGTGTTGCATTCTGTTTTGTCTCTTTTTTTTTTTTTTTTTTAGACTCGCTCTGTGATTGATGAGGATTAAGACGCTGATTTTGCCTAATAGGGAACACAGGAGCGTCCTCATCCACTCTGGTAAGAATCCTGATTTACACAAACAGTCAAAGGCATCAGCTGATATGGGGATGAAACACGTGCTTTGGCAACCGAGATAAGATGGCTGCACTTGGTGTTTCAGCTTTTGTTGGTGTCATACCAGCCACTGGAACACACAGGCGTTTTGTCCTGGAACAGAACACACTGGTGATTGTGTGGTAAAGTAACTCTTGAGAAAAGCCAGGGTACTTTCAAATATGAATCAAGCTCAGACAAGTTCAAATCAGGAGGCATAAAAGATGATAGATGTGTACTTTGTAGGGCACAAAAACATCAACCCAAATCATGTGTGTAGATTTAGCACAAAGTCCTTTTATCACTCGGTGGTAATGACGTGTACAACACACTTTATAGGGAGCAATGTTGGACATCTGATCACACTGAATTGACTCAATTGTTTTGCATGCTTACATAATGAATCACGTGATCGATTGATTACATTCTGTGGCTGGTAGTATTTCCCTCCTTGTATCGAAGTGCAGCTTGTTTTTGTCAGGTAACGGCGCACAAGAACCCAAACAAGTTGTGACGCCAAGTCCCTCTGCACGTCATCCCATTGCTTTTCTTCGTCTGATGTGGTTTATTTTTTCAAAAATCCCATTTAAAGGATGTTTACAGGAGCACATTCTTGCACGATTACCTCAGCGGTGATGCCTCGCTGGCTCTTTCTGCGAGCAGTCCCAAGGGTGTGAAACCTGAGCAGCACTGTTAGCAGTGTTGAACCAATGGTGTGCTACCATGTATGACTATTGATCTGTCTCTATCAGCACCAATATCAATCTTAAAGAGGAAGGCGTCTGCTAAACCAAACATGCCTGTTCTCTCCAGTCATTCTGCTTTCATAAACCTGCAGAACAGGGCTCCATTCGATGCAAAAACATGCATGAATACTGTGTTCAATTAGCCTTTGAGCAGCCTGAGAATTATGTATTCAGTTATCCTTTGGACTGCATGAATATTAAGTGTTCATTTAAACCCCGGCTGAGGAGAAACACTCCATTTATCGTCATCACAGTGTCAAAAATCTTTGCCTCACGTGATGGAAGATGTAATTGGGGTGAATGAGGATGTAAGGAGACATCAGAGTAAAGGGCGCCGCGTTACGCCCCAACATATTCATAAAAAGCAGAAGATTCTGTCCCCCTGCTCTTGTTTGTTGTTGCTGCGCAAAATGTCGACGGCGTAGTTTGTACACACGTGAAAACGGCATCAAAGCGCTGCAAGGTGAATAATTTTTGGTGGCATCTGCACATTCTGCAATATGCTAATGAGCTAAGCTGCAAAAGCCAGATTGCCAGGAGAGAGAGAAGAGGAGATGGAGTGAGAGAGAGAGAGAGAGAGAGAGAGAAAAAAAAGAGAGAGAGAGGGAGGGGAACAGAGTGGAAGAGAGAGAGAGAAACAGACGGAGGCTGGTGTAAATTATGGATGCAACCTGCGATTTCCAAGAGGAAAAGAAAAGGCAGAAAGAAACCTCAAGTCATGCATATCAGATTACGCATTTACCACATTTTCTTATCATGCTCCGTGAGCAAACTCGTACGCAATCTGGCCTCTGTGTGTGTGTGTGTGTGTGTGTGTGTGTGTGTGTGTGTGTGTGTGTGTTTGAAAAAGAGAGTGACAGCGAGAGAGAGCACTTACACATTCATCCATGTCGTGTGGCATGGAGCTGCATGGTGCTGTCAAGCGTCTTTAAGAAGCTGTGTTGACTTTCATGCATTATTGTGTTCAGTTGCTTTGCATTGTCTCCGTGTGCGTCTTCAGGCACATGGACCCTGATAAAAGTTCACACACACATTAAATCAATTTTGAGCATACTCATGGACACAGTAAATCTACCCTTTAAGGAGTCAATTCGACGACTTTAAAAACCTGCAGAAAAAAAAACGCTTTTAGTAGCTTTCTTTGTTGCTGTACTTGAGTAATAACACAGGGAATGCTGAGCTACCTGATTTCTCTCCTAAAATAACGAACTCTCATAATGTATTTTGCTTGCTTGAGCAGTTCTAAGTAAAGTAAAAGTGGGTATTCGTGTCCCACTACCACATCCCACCCTCGTGTGCCAGTCCCCTAACAGCCCGTGTGAATAATGGATCCATTCTTGAGTCGTGTCTGTGACTTGGGGGGAGTGAGGGGGGGGGGGGGGGGCAGGCTGTGCAGTGGTGTGGTTTCCCCACCAGAGTCGGGAGGTGGAGGAGACGGGAAGGGGGCCGCTCGATCTGGAAATAGCTCTGCCTGAGCCGGGAGGACCTTAGGTGGGCCTCTGTGCCAGCCTCACCTTCCTTTAGCACGCTAAAAGTACAGCTTTGCTTCTTTTCACAGTTAGGTCGGAATAAAAGATGGTCTAACTGGTCACCGTTCAACTATGAGTGGAAGATTTTCTTAAAGATAGGATGGAAAAAAAAAAAGTGTTTTCTAAGAATTGGACCTTAGCCATGTTGCACTTACTGCGAGAAATATCTCTGAGCCGGCGAACAGAAACTATGAAACCGCCTTGGAATTTGCCTGCATGTAAATGTGTGTTAATGTGCAAAGTAGGTCATTTATTTGGAGCAGGGACAGCCGGAGTGTGCTTCTCTGGAGCGATGTCAGAGCGGGGAATCGTTTCATAAGCAGACACATTTGGTTGATCTGCACCACGGATTAACATATGCCGATATTTTGTTTATATGTCAAAAACTCTAATGTACCAGAGGAGGAGGAAAACGGGAAAACAGGAGGGAGGGGAGGATGGCGTGGGTGGTTGTTGAAGGTGAAAATGGCTGTGGTCAATCCAGAGACAGCATCGGTAACCACGAGCACAGATAGCAGCCGAAAAATCGGACCAAATCAGATTACCAAACAAACAGCTAAGAGGATTAATTCTGATCTCTCTCTCTCTCTCTCTCTCTTTTTCTCCATCAGACGGACATTAAATCTGCAATCTATGAAATCCCTTCAAATGATTTGACTCTGCGGCCCCTCGTTTTTTCTGGTTACGTGTTCATATTGAAACCTCCTTCTGCTCTTGGTGAACCCTGCCCTTTTTGTTTTGCGCCTTCAGGCCTCTACAAATGGCTCTACCAAACAGGGTATCATATCGGCTTTTAAAAATATCTTCACGAGGTACAACATGAATCTGCCCCCCCCCTCTCCCCACACCGCCATACACTGCGGTGCTGTTAAGCCCCCATAATGTTGTAATAACCTGGCACACTCTGTCAGGAATAAAGCTGTGTTGAGAGACGCCTGTGGCTCTACGGCTCCATGGCAGTCACTTCTACAAGCACAGCGGCGTTCTCCGCCGCGCGCCTAATTAATAGAAAACATGATATATGGAAGAGAATAATTACACCTTGTCCCCGGCTTTCACAGATCAAACACGTGGCAGCTTCTTTTATTTGAATCCATCTCAGGAGCGACTGCAAGTGTACACAGAATCAGTTGCGGTACATTCGGTTCCTCCAGAAATAATAGACTGTAGATTAATTTGGTTAATATTTCATAAAGCTTACAAAAGCAGAGGGCATTCGAGGCTTTTCAGATTATTTGTTCTCAGCCGATATTACACACCACGGCTGAGCTGCCGCATGCTCTCTCTGCGCTGCTAAAGTCTACACACAATGCCAAGTCGAGGCACTCGCCATTTAAAGTGTTTGTCTGTGATAGCGTTGTTTGTGAAATGGGAGACGTGCAGCACCTTCATTCCCCCCCACCCTGAAGGATCTGATTCAAAGGCTGCCGATTAATGCACAGCATCTTATCGCTGTCTCTCCGGTGCTGATAACTGCCACTACATTTGTATTAATATCCTCTCCGGTGCTCTTTGGTATCAGCTGATTCACACCTCGTCTAAACACAGAAGTACAATACAGCATTGCTCCTGACAGCTTGACAAACTGACAATCCTACTCTCAAGCACTCCCCCTCCCTCCCTCCCTCGCTCCTGCTCTCCCTGATAGAGCCGTATATTGTAACCAACAAGACTGTAATCAGCGCTAACCTAATCAAATCATTGCTCCAACAAGCAGCCCTGACTGCCGGGCTTCTAGAGGAAAAAAAAAACAAAAAAAAAAAAACAGAACACACATCTCCGATCAGGACGCAGGCAGCGTGTACAGCAGTTTGTACCGTAAAGCAGCCGCTGCTTGAAATGTCAGGAGAAGTAGGATTATGTTTTTCCAAAATGTCACTGACAGCATAATAGCCCAGAAGAAGAGCATCTCATGCTATGTTTATATCTCATGTCAGCAGGTGTGAAATGTGACTCTGTGTGCAGTAATAAAAGATACTGTGCAGGAATGTGAAGGTAAGCTGAATGCAGTGTTTGTTGACGGAAAGTGGTGTGTGTGATTGGCGGCGTGAGCAGCCCATGGAATTAGTCATTAAAGTGTGTGTTTCAGATCTGCAGAAAAAAAAAGCAAAAAAAAAAAAAAAAAAAAGCACATCTCCAAACCAGCTCATTATCAGCAGCAGAAAAGCTGCCTGGGCACCAGTACAACTTGTGTGTCTTTGTGTGTAATGGACGTGTGTATTTGGAGTGCACTTTGGCTCGTTCTAACTCCAAGATTTGGTTAACTGAGTTGGCTCGCCCAATCAAATTGCCACAGAGGGTGCAGTTGCTTCGGCCTCAGTTTCATTTAGTGGCACCCACGCGCTTGACTCCCTGCCACAAAAATGCACAAACACTCATTTCTCTTTACCCACAATGTAACAGACATTTACACACACATGCACACACACTCAGCTGAATGAGAGAGTGACAAAGTCAGAGAATGAGGAAAATATCAGAAAGTAGCAATTAAGCTCCTCAGACAGTTCTGCCAGCAGACATCAGTAGGGTTGGAGGCAGGGAGTGTTTGTGTGTCTTTGTGTGTGTAGGAGAAGAAGAGAGGCGGTGTTTCAGTCCAACTCCTCTAACAAAAAATCAGTTTTTAACACTTTTCAAGCGCACGAAAAACTAATTACACTGATGTGTCGGTAACCTGCCGAGGAGGCTGACA